TAAAATTACTATTTAGGTAAATTGGGGTACTTTAATTTAAATACATAGTGCATAAAAGAAAGTATAATTGAATAAAATGATGATTCATAGATTTCTTAATTGACATATTTATGAAATGCCAATCAGAGACTGCTCAATGGATATTTGTCCAAACTGTAGATGAAATTCTAAGTCCAATTTGGGTGTCAACTTTCAGCCTTTAAAATGAAAGTCAATTTTTTCACAGAAGTATACTCCGACACCACTATGAAACTAATTATTATATTATTTACAATTCTGGGATGAATTAAAGGATCAAAATGATCTCAGTTTTCTCTTTCTCTTCTCTTCTTTTTTTGCATGTTTTTAGCTGATATTTAATCTATGCTAGCCATGGAACAAAATAATGGCACTGAAGTGACTGAATTCATTCTCCTGGGATTTGCTGGTCAACACAAGCACTGGCATATCCTCTTTATAGTATTTCTAGTGGTCTATGTGGCTACCCTAGTGGGTAATATTGGAATAATGCTACTCATCAGGATTGATTCATCCCTTCACACCCCCATGTACTTCTTCCTCCAACACTTGGCATTTGTTGATCTCTGTTACACCTCTGCTATCACTCCCAAGATGTTGAAAAACTTCATAGGGGCAAAACAATCCATCTCATTCATAGGATGTATGGTGCAATTACTAGTCTATGGTGCTTTTGCAACAACTGACTGCTACCTCCTGGCTGCTATGGCAGTAGACCGTTATGTGGCCATCTGTAACCCACTCCGCTATCCAGTTGTCATGTCCCAGAGACTCTGCATTCAGCTGTTAGTTGGTTCATATGTCACTGGTTTCCTAAATGCCTCTGTAAACACAAGTTTTACTTTCTCTTTGAACTTTTGCAAATCCAATGCAATTAATCACTTTTTCTGTGATGAACCTCCAATTCTTGCCCTATCATGCTCCAGTGTCAACTTCAACATTATGCTACTCACAGTATTTGTAGGATGGAACTTGATGTGCACTATAATGGTGGTCATCTGTTCCTACATATATATCCTGGCTGCCATCCTGAGGATATCTTCTGCTGCGGGGAGGAAAAAAGCTTTCTCCACGTGTGCCTCCCACCTCACAGCAGTCACCATTTTCTATGGGACTCTGTCTTACATGTATGTACACCCTCATACTGATGAATCTCAAGAGCAAGAAAAAGTGGCTTCTGTGTTTTATGGCATTATTATCCCCATGTTAAACCCCTTGATCTATAGTCTGAGAAACCAAGATGTGATTGAAGCCCTGAAAAGGGTAAGAAACAAGTGTTTCTATTAATAATTTGAACCTAATTTTCTATTTTAACATGGTTCGACAACCAAACCAACAATG